AAAAAAAAAAAAAAAAAAAATCCCAGCAACAAGATACTATGTGTCCACTTTACACCATCCACGCACAGAGATCAGCCACACAACCCGCCTCTTTATACGTGTCTAGAACGTTTCGTTTCATCCTACACATCTAAACGTAAAAACCCACATGCTGCAAGTGGCAGACTCACCCGTCGCCCTAAACAACTGCGTGAACGTGGGATGAATTTCCCATTTAGTTGTTGACCTAAGTTGCCTTTAAGATGTTGGACCGTTATAATCGGGAACGTAGGGCCGATGCCGTTAATTACAAATCCCAGCACACCTCTCTGTATTCCCGTTTCCGACGAATTAGTTCAGCTTTAGGGGGTGATGTCCACTTACCTAAAACAAAGAGGAAAATCCCATGAACGGTTGTATGGATAATGTATTTGGATAGCTTGTTTGCTGTGTGTGTGTGTGTGTGTGTGTGTGTGTGTGTGTGTGTGTGTGTGTTGGTGGAGGTGGAGTGTGTGGGGGTGATTTCACCCATCGGGACATTCTCATATCACATTTGCTTTGCAGACCCTGTGGGCTTACCTCCAGGGGATCAAATCCTTCATCAAAGGGAAAATGCTCTGAATGGTTTTCTGTAAATTATTGTGTTTTTAAGACGTTCCAGCTTGCTTTCATTTGATCTTTCACGGTGCACACTTCTGTTATTTAAGTAAAAGTCATTACCTATGTGTTTTTCGTGAATGGGATTAGAAACCATTTGACCCACAGGCCGTCTTTTCTTGTCCTCTCCAGCTTCGCTTTTTTCTCCCACTGTGCCGTGGACAACCTGGCTGGGTCCCCATGTGGCTCTAGGGTCACAGGACGGCCGCGGGATGCTTTAGACACGAGATTGAACGCCTTTGCAGGAGGGGCACACCCAAGGCTATCAGCCACTGGGATCCCTGCAGGGTTGTCCTAGCTTCTCACATGTGGGCGGGGAAAAAAACAACCCAACCTGTTTCTAATCCCATCAGTTCCTTGCACAATGAAAATCACTGTGATTTGTATATATGCTCTTGGAAAATTTTACTGCTGTCTAATTTATGGAATAATACTATTGATTCCAGGTTTGTTTAATAAAACTTTGTACCTTTTACGAAGCCTGATTCTGGTCCGCGTTTTCTGTTGCAGGATTAAGCTGTGGCTTGTCTGCTTCTATCTAGTCCAGGAGTCCACAATCTTGCTATGTTATTTTATTTTATTATTTTATTTTATATTTTATTTTATTTTAATTTAATTTAATTTTTTTATTGATTTTAGAGAAGATGGGAGAGGGAGAGAGAAAAACATCAATGTGAGAGCAAAACATTGATAGGCTGCCTCCTGCACGACCCTTACTTGAGATCGAGCCCGCAACTGGGAATCGAACCCACAACCTTTTGGTTCACAGGTCGACGCTCAGCCACTGAGCCACACCGGCCAGGGCTGCAATCTTTTCTTGTTTTATTAATTAAATTTAATTTTTTATATAACATTCCATCCGTTTCAGGTGCATAACACGATTGGATATGTGTATATATCGCAGAATGATCACCCCCAATAAGTCTAGTTAATGTCCGTTGCCCCACATTAATGAGAATGTTTAAGATCTACTCTCTTAGCAACTTTCTAATACAGAATTCAATGTTATTCTATCTTTTTCTATCTATTCTATCTTTTTCTGGTACAGATGATAGGCCAGATGATTGACCCTGGGTAACTGAAACCACAGAGAGCTAAACACGGATATGGGGGTGTGGGGGGGATACTGTGTATTTGACATTGACTAAGTTTGATGTGTACGCCGTGTTGCTTTGGTGCATTTCTATATTACAGTATAATGGCCCTTGTAGCGATAGCTATCACCT